GTGGCCCTGGTGACCTACTAGTGGGGCCACATGGGGCCACTTTCAAACGAAGATGGCTGTTCAAGATTCAAGGGTTAAAAAAAGACACACTGCCTGAATATTCCCATGGCACACACACACTCCCAGTTCGACCATACTCCACGCAGTCTTTTTGAGACCACTGGTCACAATCGAGCAATGCCACCAGCTGCCACTGTTCCTCGGCAGCTTCGTGCGCGATCAGAAGTCTTGAAACTCTTGGAGGAGCATTACTTGGAACCACATGTATTTGCAACGTTTCCTGTTCAGTATACGGATCTAATTAGAGTTGCGCGAGGACTTTTATCAAGAGCTTCTCGAGGACAAGGACTACGTTCGCCGACGCCGCAAAGAAATCAAAAAGTCCTTGCAACTTCAAGATGGGGAGGAGTCATGGTAGCAAGCTAGCGCACGTGTACATGCCATACTTTTTGGGGTCATGGACCATGGATCTCATGTCTAGAATTTAGAAAGTGCTCGCTCAGAACGTGGTCTTCAGCATGTTGGACATCCGGGTGCACAAAATTGATGAGAAGCAGGCAAGTTCAACTCTCCTCACTGTTGACACTCCCTTGTAAATGTGGCAGGTCCTGGCAGACACAAATTTTGAGCTGGTTTGCAACTACCTGGCCACTTTTGTGGGTGAGTTCGAACCATTACCCAAGAAGATCGAAGTTGAGGTGGCGCTTTGCGCTCTTGCAGTACAGTACACGTGACAAAATTGTCTGAGTCACCTGAACCCATTCGTAGATAACACATTTTTATACATGTTTAGAAATGTCTGGCTCAGGCAGCGCTCTTCAAGGTGGCAAAGCAGTGCGGGGTGAACAAGTTCCGTCATGACCATGAATGGAAGGCCTGCCTGCTTGTTTAGGAAGGTCTGCATTTCTTTTATAATACATGATTGGACATTTGGATCAACTCACGCAACGCCATATTTCTTTAATGCAGCTCGCTCAAATCATGGCAGGCATGGTGCTCCATTGAGGCGAACCTCCACCGTGGATTAGCGTCCTACTGCATGACCAGATGGTCTCGCAACAAGGGTGTGAGGCGGGCCTTGCGCACAACCTTCCATCGTCGATTCTACACGTACGCTTGGGCAGGTCACCATCCAAGTGTTCGAGGATGCTGCAAATCAAAGAAATTATCAAGTCTAAGCTGGAGGCGCTCGATCCTCCTTGATTCACTTTTTTTGGGGGGTTGACTGCTCCAGGCGCATGACAAGTTGGAGGATAATGGCAAAAAGATTCCTGAGCGTGGGAGATATGCCAAAAAGGTCAAGTTCCCAGCTCTAGCTTTGCGCGCTTTGAAGGCATGACATTCTTGATGCTACCTGATGTCACATTGCCCTTCGTCGCGAGGACAGTGGGTCAAGCACAAAGCTGGAGGATGAGACGGAGGAGAGGGAGCAGCAAACTTCAGCAGAGGCGGGGGGCAGCTGGCAGCTGCGCTTCCAACTCAACAAGCGTCAATAATAGCATTTTTCCCGCGTGTGCAGGATGCTGATGAGCCTGACCTGGACAGCGTTCCCCTGCATTATGCAGGTCAAGAATTCGAGGGTTCATGTGATGAGGAAGATGATGCTGAGGGAGGTGAGGAAAAAGGCGAAGGTGACGCTGAGGGAGGTGAGGAAAAAGGCGAACGTGAGGTCGATGAAGTCGTGAGCGTTAGTGATCATGATCAGGTGTTAAGGGAAAGCCCCGACAACCAATTGGGTCTACACGATGAGGAGGATGAACAGGATGAACAGGATGAACCAGGTACTACTGAAATGGACGAAGAAGACAACAACGACGAGGAAGCAAATGAGGAGGAGAGGTAGTGAGTGATCTAGATATCTGCATGAGATATACAATTTCAACCTCTCTCCGAATTCAAATTCTTGATGTGGAATCGGCTATTGCTTGCGAAGGACTTGGTCAGCGAGAAGAATGAGCATGAGCAATCTACTGCCCAGAAGGCGCGCCCTCCTCCCAGACCATGAACAATTCGGAGACGACCCACTCGGGGGATGGGGCCTATACCTTTACTCCTGAATCCTCGCTCGGCTTTGGCGTCTACGCCTGCGTGACAGGACCGAAAGCCTTTGACTAAGAATTTGGCCCCGATCGACGCCGACCTGGAGCGCAAGGCAAATTCAATGTCCCGGAAACTTAGTGAGACTGCTGGCAACGATCGACGTCTGGATCTTGTGAAGGCCCGTGTTTAGTCATGATCCCTTTAAGCAACAACAACAACAACAGCAGCAGCAATGCACGTTTAGTTTCTCAAATTTAGACTGTTCTGATTTATATAATTTGTGGCCCTTTTTGCTAGGCACAACGGGTTTTGAGAAAAGCTGCTAAAGAAAGCAAAATAGAGGGAGACGAGGAACATGATCAAGAACCGGAAGACGGCGACAGAGAGCACGCAGACAACCAGAGTGACGAAGACCAGGAGGCTGAAAGGAGCGCAGCTCGAGGTCGAGGTAAAGCTCGAGGTCGAGGTAAAGCTCGAGGTCGAGGAAAAGCACCCGGTCGCGGCGGCCGAGGGAGGGGCAAAGGGAAAGGTCGTGTAAATGGTGGCGCCTTGAAACGGCCCGCAGCCAGCAAACCAAGCACAGTCATCCAGCGAAAGGCAAAGGCTGAGGTTGCGGCGGAAGAAACTCCGGAGGAGTTGAAGTGTAAGCGCAAGGCAGAAGAGCAGGAACCGCCACCTTCTAAGAAGAAACCCAAAGCAGAACAGCCTTTGGACGACAACTCTGTTGAGGCTCGCGCGCATGTTGGCATGAGGCGTCAACTCAGAATACAAGTTGTATACGCATGCGTGGGAATATGAAATATGGTTTGGGACTTGGGGTGGGTCTGCAATGGGCAAGCGACACGATCTGCAGTATATCACATGTTCATTGGCCTGAACCTCCAACCCTCTACGGTGAAATAAGATTGTTAACACACTAGCCGACTACATGTGGACGCATGACGCTCAGGGGGGCAATCACTCATGAACAGCTCCAGGTATCCAACTGGAAGCGTCTGGACAAAGTGGCGGAGAAGTGTCCCACTTTGAAGGCCAAGCGTCCTCCACTTCCATTGATCAAAAAGCCATCAACTTAAATCCACGACCTTGGATGGCAGTCGAGCCAAGTCGAATCCCCCCCAACATCCCCCAACAATTTTTATGACCCAGGTCTTTCACTGTCAAACCACCTTCCTACGCTGAATGCAAAGAGCCTTCATCCATCGGAGTTTTGTTGGGCTCTCAGGTTTGCCTTTTTGGGCAACAGCCAACAGCCGACTTGCCACAAAAACTGTCCGACCCAGGTTGACTGTGGGTGGCTACTATGTCTACCAAACGGACGAGAAAACAGTGAAGAAGGTTATGGAGCTTGAGAACGAACACCTCCAGGCTGGCCGAACACTTCCCTTCTGGATCGATCCTTTGGTTGTACTCATTTTGCCGATGCACAGTAGGAGCTCTTTCGCGTGCCATTAGATCAGGTTGTAGGGCAGAGTCACAATATTTAAAGGCGGCACCACCGACTCCTGACTGCTGCGCAGATCAACAACAAGAACGGTTGTTCCATTTACTGGAACACGCATTCCGGCCCACTGTACTCGTCGAAGCCCTAGATAATCATGATATAACTTGCTTCATTGTACAACATGATATCCCACATATCTGGCACGTTGCCAACACACAGGAAGCGATGACTGGAATCATGTTAACTTGAGTCGTTCTAGTTGTGATCAGGTGTCGATGCTTTTGGCATATCATCTGATAAGTCTTTAGCTCCGCCACATTGGAGTTGATGTTTTATGGATGTGAGGATTTCGATATCATTTCATCCTTCCTGCATGCGAGATTCCCATTCCCAAAGTGCCTGCCAAGGTGGAAGCTCGCAGTGATGGTTGCGCGATGGGCCAAACCTGAGACCGTCGCATCTGATCGCCCGAAACCTGAAGATGTTGATTAGTGCCATCATGTGTCTCACTTTTAGAGCACTCATAAACTGCCGCATCAATGGCCGGTGGTTGTGGATTTTTTTGGAGTCTTGGACGGCCTTCATGATTAGGCCCACGGTGCGTTCATGAGGGAAAACATGGATTGCAAATCGAATGTATATGCATCTGCAAGCAGATTACTAGATAACAACCTTGCCCAATACATCACCATCTTGGCACTTCAAGCATGCCCGGAGAACTCTGTATTGTGTCAAGTGTCGGCTCGCTCTTACAATTGGCGCTACTTAGCATAGCTCAGCTGTGCTTAGACCCGGGAATTGATGCCGTGCAAGGGTGATTGGCAATCATCACCCCTGGCCCTTACCCGGAAGCAAGCCCTTTTGTTGAGAGCCATGGGGTTCCCATTGATCATGTTTCTGGCCTGCACCGATATACATCTAACTATTAATGGCGAGGAGTTTCCCTATATATATATATAATAACATCATATTCTCAGGCTCCACTTGGTGGACTACGTCGTGCAAATTTCTGCAAGTGAAGCCAAACGCGTCCCTTTCTAAGCGCAACATGCTGTTTATGCTTTGGGTGGACCCGATGTGATTTCGGCCTAGGACACAATGATGGTGGACTTTTTTGGGGGCGTTTGCCAGCTCTATTCTGAATATGGCCAGGTCCCCGGTTCCTGCAATATGATTGCAGCTGCCCTGCCCTGCACTCCCCTAGAACCAGAAATCCCGGCCTTAGCCACGATCCAGGAGACCATGGCATGAAGTCGTCCCATCCTTGGATAGCCAATTGCATCAAGACAACGACGTGGAACCTTCCAACCATATCATCAGATCTTCACTGTTCATGTTTGTGGGGATGGGTTATATGTTTTATTTCTGCTTCAGGCGATTCTTCGAGATTAACAGGAAACCTCAGAAACACGACTTGAACTCAGTGCCCCATTCTCAGTTCAATGGAACCAGTGCGCACGCCTGGCACGCAATATGCTTATAATATGATGTTTTCTGCAGGATCGGCCTATGCCAGGCGGTGCTGTTTGTTCTGGAGTGCCGCCCTGGCTCTTTGTGCTTGGGCGGTCCACCTTGCAGCTCATTTGTTTGGGTAAACTCTTCGACGTCTAAGAGGACAAAGCGATTTGCACTTGGAGATACCAAGAGAGAGTACATAATGTCCGCAAACAAGTTCCTTGGATCACTTGGAGGATGATCAATTAAAACTTGCGGCTGTTTTTATGAGACCAACTTCCATGTTCCAGCTTTGCATGTGTGTGCGCGAGGCTCACTGCACGCTGGTGCTTGCTGATCCTACTTTGCGCTGTCCGCCAAGTGCTGAACCTGACAGAGCAACCATCCAGCAGTGTCATGCAGTACTTCCCCTACTTCAAATTCGTGGTGAGGGTCCTCAAGAAATATGGCCTGGGTTGGTTTGAAACTTCATTGTGCCTTGCACGCGTTGCAATCATGAGAAGAGATTTTGCTTGAAAGCCATAGCATGTGATTGGATGTTTATCTATTATGTTGCTGCCTTGTTCGTTTGGCCGGCGGATAAGAATCTGCTACTAGCTAAGTTCAATGGGAGCTTTTGGTGCAAAAACCCTGAAGCCGAGCCGTATCTTTGGGACAGCGTTGCAGCCTTAAATACTTACTGTATATGCGTGTAAGGGGGCCGATGTCACACATGATATATCTCCTGTCGGGTTTGCTTCCCTCTACCGAGGCCATTTGCTGCGAAGATGAGGCGCAAACTTACCAAATCTATACGCCGCAGAATCAAGAGGACTTCCGCCAAAGTTCAAATGTGCAAAACTTCGGTTGGCAAGAATGGCAAAAAAAACAGTGTCCCTAGGCATCAGTTGCTTGCAAAGCGGTCTCATGCCGTTTTTTGTCGCAAGTGCTTCAACCATGACCATGACCTTCATCTCAGGTGCGGGGGGTCGATACATGAAGTCTTCAAGCGCATACCCAGCAGGCTTTGCAAAGGCAATCCGAAAACATCACATGGACTTCTTCGAACTTTAGCAGCACATTTATTAATTTCCCCGTTTTCAGGCAGCGTCCGCTCATGTAGGCCAGATGCAAGCTGAGTTTCAACCTGTGCCCAGGAAACCTTTGAGACCAAGCCAACTCCAGAAATCCTGGCCAGTGCCGAAGTAGCCTCGGCTGTTCAAAACTCTTTCAATTGGTGGGTCCTAGCTAGGCGGTGCTTTGAGAATCCTTTGTAGCATGCTATATATGTAGCTTACTATCCGGATCCATAATATAATGCGGTATCGAAGTATTGAAGTCCTTGGGTCCCGCCCAGAGTATTGAGGGCACCGTGGGACTGGAAGCATTGCGAGCTGGAGGAGGTGCGTAGATTCCTCAACTCCCAAATTGAGGAGGGAATCTACGTACCGATCTTGGGAGCCCTTTGATCGCCCGTGGTGTGACCCATGGGAATTCATTCGGAGCCACATATAGAGGCCTGGTTTGTCGATATACAAATTTTATATTCATACACCATCATACACCCAATACCCTGGCCATGGTCAACTTGAAAGTCAGGCCCTGATCTACCGATCGACTAGCGATCGTTGATGCTCCGATTTAATTAATAACGACTCGACCAATCGAGGCGATCCCTACGCTGAAAAGACCTTATTTCAGGCTTGTCCACTGGTTTATATTAAAGGTGTATTCGGGCTCTGAAAAAAAATATCATTAATTTTTCAAAAAAAAGGCAAGCGTGGACAACCGTGGACAAACCGTGGACAAGTACATTGTTTGGCGTGGAAAGTACATTGTTTGGCATGGAAAGTGCATTGTTTGGCATAGACTTTGGACACTTTGAAGCACCCCGAATTCTACGAATTTGTCTCACGCTGACCATCGTCGCTGCTTTTAGAAAGCTCGGGTTCGTGGATTTGCAAGATATATGCACTATATAGCTAGATATTAATATATGGCGCTATATATATTTATATTAGGAGCTGAAACTGTCTTGTTTTCTAGATCGACCGTCGCCGCCGACCATGGCAGCAGAGATCTTGAGGAAGGCGAAGGAACGTCGCGCCAGGGCCCTGGGTCTGTGTTCGCCGGCCACCGACAGCCAAATCACCGTTCCTGGGGAGCCTCATGAGCTTGGTGGTGATGCCCAAAGGACCGGGCGATTCACGATTAATTCAATCGCTAGTTGACTAATTGGAGTTTTACAAATTACTGCAATTGCAATATTTATGATCAGTATATATATTACCCTGTTATAAACCTATCTGATCTGGCCGCTGGAGGACGCCTCGCAGCAAAGTGACTCATGATGAACCAAAGTCTATACTAAAGTCGGAGGGCGGAGGGAGCGTGGGTAAGTTGTGCGCTGGTCGTTCTTTGTTCACCCTGCCACACCTTGAGATGCTAAAATCCCCAATATATTATACAAGTTCCAAGTCTTCTGTTCTGTACCGGCTTGCAGCGCTGATGATCAATCCCTGGTGATTTGGAGACCCATGGGTCCAGGCTATTCGATCGATTGAACAATTCCATTCTTAGGATTCCTTCTGCCAAGGTTGCGACTGGCGTTCACGGGAGATCCATCATTTAATTACACCCCAGAACGAAGCACCCTTCCCAAGCTATAGATCCTCGAAGGCACACCAACTTGCGCCAGGAAGCGGCGATAAAGCAAAGAAGACAAAGTCGCAATCTCCAAAAGACCAGGCTGTCATCACTCCTGCGCGAAGGCTGTCTTTTGCCGATGATGAAAAGACATCAGGCACCAAAGTTTCGAAGGTGGCGACTCGATTTGTGAAGAAGGGACCGCAGGAACCCTACCACTACACCAATGCGATGCATGAGCCTGCTGATGAGAAAGGTCTCAAGAAGCCTAAGGAAAGCAACCCTCAGAGACAAAATACTGTCAAGTATGACAACGCAAAAGTACAGGAGGCAAAGAAAGGAGGGCAAGTGAGAGACAAGAAAGTGTTGGAGGTTGAGGAAGTGCCACCAAAAGACTACGGGAAACACTCAGCAAGCAGCAAAGGTCCAGTGGAGACAAAGGCAAAGGTGTCACCTGCCTCCAAGCTTGCACAGGTGAAGAGAAACCATGATGACAAGAAGGCCACAGCCAAAAAGCAACCAAGTGGTGAGACAAAGACGGATTCAAAGAAAAAAGTGAATTCGAAGGGTGAGAACAATGCGAAGGAAGAGTCAGCAAGGAAGACGGCAAAAGAAAAGAGCACTGCCGCTACCAAGGAAGACAGTTCAAGGAAAGCAGAGAAAGGAGCTGCAAGCGCCAAGAAGCAGCAAAGCAAAACAGAACAGAAGTCGAAGGGGAAAGCTGCCGACAAGAAGGCGACACCTCCGACGGCCAAAACGCCGAGAACAAAGAATGAGGGCACAAACGGAGGAGAAAAGAAGAAAAAGACGGATGATGCAGAGAAGAAGACTCCTGAGGCTGTTGCTGCACTTCTTCGTGCAGACACAGAGGACATTGCTGCGAAGAATTCAGAGATAGAAAGGAAGGAAAATGCAAGAAAAGTGTACAAAGCAAGGAAAGCAAGATTCTATCGCAGCCTGGAAAGCCCAGGGCTGAGCGATTGTTTTCTTTATGTAACACACGAGTAAGGTCATTATATAGCTCAAGCCCTGTCTCCTCTGCCCAGGCCCGTCAACGCCAGTCGAGCTCAAGAACGTTGTCGCCGACAAGAAAGAAAGCCGCTTGGCCAAGAGCATGACTATCACCTTGGATGGCCGGTTTGGACGCAGTTCCCGAATCCCAGATTTTGAGTCCATGCAAATCCCTTCTTCATGACCTTGACTTGCTGCCCCGCAGCCAAGGTATGTCAGTGATTTATGAGCGATGGCTGGCTTGTGGTGAGAAATGGAGCCGATCCAGCTGGGTAATCAGCATGAAAAAATCGCATCAGCACACAAAACGTGGATGTAGGAGATGGATGACCCGAAAGCAAATCGAAATGAAGTACAATGACATGGGAAATGGAGTTGAGCTGGCTCAAGAAATAATCACCGATAAGGAAGAAAATGGTGTGGAGGGTGTGGATTGGAAAAGGCACCCTGAACTACCCAACCGAGATGATTCTCAGCGATGTTCAATTTATATTTAGTTGTCATTTGTCTAAATGCATTGCGCGCACAATACCTGCAAGCGCTGTCATTTCCGGTATGCTCCCCAGTCCGTTTTGGTTTCATGCTCAGGAGCTTCGGCTCTATTTGTGCTGGGATGAAGAAAGCGAAGTCAGCTTGGAAAACACGGTACTTGAGAATTCGAACTTGAATGCTGATGAGGGTCGTGCAAGCCGGTCTCGAAAGCGGGCTCGGTCCACAACATCTGAGGCCAGGCATTGCTAGCTAGCTTGTTAGAACATGTTCATTTTACTTTATTCAACTTTCTGGGCCTCATGCTGGTCACTTGTGTCTGATATCGCATGGTAATCGAATCCAATTGTGACCGAATTCGGAATCTGTCGAGGCAGAGACAAGCGACTCTGACTCTGACGAGAGTGAGTCTGAAACTGAAGAGAGTGAAGAGAAGAAGAAGAAGCGTAGGAAGAAGGGCAAAGGATCTGACAAGAAGGACAAGAAAAAGGACTCCAAGCGCAAGAAGAAAGGCAGCAAGTCAAAAAAGAAGAAGTTGACTGAGGCGCAAAAGGCACAGCAAATCAAGAGGGAGGAGGAGAAGGAGCGCAAGAAGAAGGAGAAAGAAGAGGAGCGAGAACGGCTGAAGAAAGAAAAGGAAGAATTGAAGGACAAAGTCGCTGATGGCAAGAAGGTGCGCCGCAGTCTTCTTCTCGCCAGTTGCAACCAACATTGAGATCGATGTCTGCGCAGGTCCTCAGTCAGCTGGGCAGCAAGATCAATGATATCCGCGATAAGTTGATCAAAGTCAAGAAAATGTACCTTGGCTCAGCCCTGTTCAAGATTCGTCCATCGACAACTTGTTTGCTCAAAACACACTGCCCGCATGTTTGAGGCCTGATGATCTACAGCGTCCGGTGACCAAGAGCCTCACAACTCAGCGCCAAGCTTTGGTGAATGCTCGAGATCAACTCCAAAAGGCTTGTGATGTCGATACTTACGAGGACTGTACCGCGTAGATCGTCTAGCTAGGCTTCGGCTTAGTCTATCATGCCGACATGACATGTCCTTGGTGCACACCCCGCCCACTGCCCCTATGGATTCCCCTACTTCCAGGAGGGCAAGTGCAAGAAGGCCACGTCGGCTGGTGAGAAGGCTTTGGAGAACTACCGGAAACTTGTCGACACCCTCCGCATGTCCTGACCGAGCGTTTTTGCCTGGAAGTTCAATAACTTCCAAGTTTTTGCAATCTTGCAGCCATAGTTCCATACAATCGAAGCATCTCAAATGCCGGTGACATAGCTGCATAGCTTCCTTAGATGCTCCCTGGACCACTTGTTATAAAATCATCTACTGTGCTTTGCAAAGTAAATCTAGTATTCATGAATGCGTTTGGGGAGTTTGGAAGTTGG